TTATAACACGCTTCCAAATTTCCTATTTTATACCAAACACGTGTTAACAAAACACATTTACTGCGTGTTACATAATCACACTTTAGCGTGTTTTAAAATGTCACACCTTGAAGTGCGTTTAAAATGACTACATCGAAAAAACGCGTAAATGTGTGACAATGTAACACACTTAGCATTTGCAGTGTAATTATCGTTAAAACACACATCACACAAAATAAAACAAACACAAAAAGTTACTGTGTAAAAATATATTATTACTGTTAAACGATAAATGAAATATTAATAAAAACAATTGATTTGCGTTAAAATTGTACATATCACAAAGGCATGTTAATATTTGCGAATAACGAATAAGGAAGCTGTCATACGGCAACGCCAACATTTGAAACTCACCGTAGTGCGTGTGAACCTCGGTATGTTCCAAATGAGCCTTCATGAATTTGGTTGTATCCTGCGAGAAGAAAAATTGTTTTTAGTAACAAATTACAGTATGGGTTTTTATTTAGCAAAAGGTGATTTCAAAACGGTAATTTTTACTCTCCCTACCCTGAGTGAGAACAAGCTTTGTGTATTCACACTACCGATATTGCAAGAGAGAATTATATTTTGATATGATGGTGCGTGACTGTGCCTCTAAACGAATAATTTCTTAAATATGTCGACGAAAACGTGTTACTAATCTTGTAAAATTTACCAAAAGTCTGACGGTCAATTGTTGTATAATGTGAATACAACATAAAATTGTCGGACATTTGACGGACGGTTGCCTGCCGTCGCGACGTCTAGACGGATAGTAAGAATCAGCCTTAATGATTGAAAGAAGTCGAAAAATATGAAACTTTAATGTGAAAAAAAGGTACAATTTAATCTTAAAATTTAGAATATTGTAATTAATGTTAATTGTAACTCGTCTAAAGAAAAATAACTGTAAATAACCTCTACCCTCACAAAAAGTACAGGTCTGACGAAGGTGGCGAGCGGTCGTGCAGGTACTTGCCCATTTACGACCTATTTGGGTAAGTCACTTGGAACCGATACTCAAATAAGCTTTCAGTAGGCGTAAATTATAGTATTAATACAGATAGGACAGCAGCGTACTAGAAAATAATGTAAAAACATGACTTATCAAAAAGAAAAAATTAACCTATTGCTTTTGTTTTATAGTTAGTTTTCACATTCACTGTCAACATCGGAATCTCTGTCACTGTCACCAACATCAACAATTAATTCTTCTGTTTGTATGTCTATTACTTACTCATTGATCACTGCTTTTAAATATTTAATCTACGCACTTGATAGGAATATTGAAGAAAGAGGGCTGCAATAGTTGTACCTAAAACTGCCTACTTTTGCCACCGCGCATCCACGCCATTTTAAAATTTCCGCCAGCTTCCAGCGTCAGGCCTGTACATTGTTTTCACCATTTTTCAATTTTGAAACGATTCTACCATTTTTAACAGTAAAGTGCATCTAGGAGTCATACTTATTCAAAAGTTTACCAAACACAGTTGCTGCTCAGGATATTACTTTGTAACTGAACCAGTTTAACGTACACGCTTACAACTAACATCTATAAACAATGGTAAAGGTCACTTGCAGACCATCTGTGTGGATGTAAACAAAAGATAAGAAAACTTTGTGTCTTTTGGCAGCCGACTCCGGTCGCTATACCTGCAAGGGATTTGTTCCAATTGATTCATTAAAAACACTCATTACACCCTAACTCGATGTTACATCCGAAGTCGCTACAGTCAAATGAATTTTGTACGAAAGTATGTTTTAAATTCAAGGGATTTAGATTTAAAATGATCGTATGCTTTAAATTCAAGGGATTTAGATTTAAAATGATCGCTACAACCAAAGTCGTAATAAATGAAGTCCACTGTATATGTAATGTACTNAGTCTCTGTATGAGAGACTCGAACGATAAAATTGTTAATTCAGAGATTCGAGTCTTTCACAGAGAGACTGAATGGCTAAAACTGAAAAATTGAGAGACTCGAGTCTTGTAGAAAGACTGGGAAATATGTTGAATGTCCAAATATTTCTATTACAGGATAGTTATATTTTTTTTCTAATCTAAAAAACCACATCCTTTAGATTATCTACCGTTTTTACCTATATTATATGTGTATATTATTTGCACGTGTGTTAAGCGATTGTCGGCATCCGCTTTTAAGTATTGCGCCGTCTATAAAAACTAGTTTGCCGGTGGTAGCGGCCGACATTCGCAAAAGGGATGAACCTACGTATAAGAATTTGTAAGACTTTTAGTCACTTGAATCTTATGTTCCAACCAGTGTAGACGCTTTTGTTAAATAAAATACAGTCAAATATAGCAGCACTTTTTAAACAATAAAAAGGAGCACGCACACATCCTATTGGACTTTTCTTATCATTTTGACGTTTTCTTAGTTTTTAAGGCTTACGTCTTAAGGAAAAATTTATTCATAGCAATAAACATCGGAATTTTCCATTATAAAACCTTTTCACGACATGTGTTTTGACTTACCCTGAACAAAACTTTTAGTCCGAGTAAAAATGCATTCTGAGTACACATTAGTTCGTTTCAAATCTTCGTTCGAGAGTGTTGTGATCAAACAGTGTTTCTAGTTTTTAAACAATATGTTTTAATTTTTTGGCCTGGAACACAGGAAAGCTCTGTCATTAAAGAAGAGGATATTTGTGGGGAGAAAGGAACTTACGATGTGAATGATTGTGGATGTTCTCTGGAAAGATAATAAAACTCATAAAGGAAGAATATTATGCTTAAGCGGTAAGTAGGTATTATTCACATTGTTACTAAAACATTGTATAACATACTAATACATTAGAATATCGAATTTCAGAGCACTTCGAAGAAAGGAAGTAAATCTGGTATTTCAACTACGTTAAAATATTGGGAAATATATGAAATCGGAAAGATTAATAAAAATAATATACCTACTAAGAATTACTGCTGTTAAGGTCCGCACTATCTTTTTTAATTTTAATTTCAGGTAGAGTTGATCAAAGGTTATAATATTTGGATCTCATTGGCAGATCTTGAATTTATTACGGATTTGACGAGAAACGACCCAAATGAAATGGTCCGAAAACTTCTTAAGCATTTTATCGAAGAAGAAGTTTTATCAAAATCGTGTGCTGTAGGATCGAGTGAAAACAACGATTCAAGACCCGGAATCAATCCAAAAATTCGGGATAACGTTAAAAGTTAATATAAATCATACTGCAAACAATTGTTTTTTAAATGTTAAAACAGCAATGTGAGTATATAAAAATTTTTTTAATAATATA